GATTCTGACTGGTCAGCACTGACACAGAGAATTGCTCTGATCCGTCCCAGAAGCCCTGCCGAGAGAAAACTGGGATTTTATATTCAAGGACCACTACACTTGCTGTATGGGCACTGATATCTTATCACCCATGGAAATAAATACAGTAGGGACTGGGGGGGGGGAACAAAATGACTTTGCATGAGCTTTAAAGAGGTAGAATTTTGCACTGATGAACCTTTACATTTCTTTAACATGCCATCTGAAAAAAACAGTAGGTGGTGGATATCTGCTAGCTCTGCAAGACCGTGAAGATTTCACCCGATGCTTGCTGGCGAGATAAGTATTCTGTCTCTTCTATTACAGGGTGCTGCTTCCTGGATTAAGAGAAACAACAGAGACACATTAAATAGAGTTCCCTGGTCTTGAGGCTCCAGGGATGCTGTAGAAGAACTAGAGTCCCCCCCCCCCCCCCCCCCCCCAGGACTGAGCATTGGTCTCCTGTCTTTATCAAATGTGAGAACAAAGTCACTTATACGGCCCACAAATGGGCCAAGTAAGGTGGGAGGTGGTCCTGAAAACAATATAATGGGTCAACATTGCTGTTCCAGGCCAGTCCAATTTGCCTGTTCAAAGATTTCTTGGATGTATCACTGAGATATATAGACCACTGGTTCTCAACCATCTAGACTGGTCCACTGTTGGGCCACAGCGTCCCTCCTCCTGAGATGCCTGCTAGCTGCAGATCCCCTAATCACCAGCAGTGCCTTCCAACTTCCATAGTGCCACCCAGCATACCTTGGCTGGCAAAGACCCTTAAACTTTCACAGTGCTCCCAGGCCACCTAATAGCACTAAGTGAGCATAACGCCCATCAATCTTCTACAGTGCCCCCCACAGTGTACCCTAGCATGCTGCAGAGCCTCCAGCCTATCACAGTGTCTCCAACAGTGTCCCACAGTGCCCCCCAGTATTCTACAATGCCCTTACAAGGCCCCCAGCTTCCATGACAGATCCTACTCCTCACAGGTGTCCCCAGCCCTCTCCCAAAAGCCTTATATTTAAAGGGCCAACAAGTCCACTGCATAGTCCACTAGCCCCCTCAACCTTTTTGCAGTTTCCTGCTATGCTGCGAAAAACAGTCATTTTATCTACAGCTTATGATATCTCTCTCTCTCTGGAGTCTACACCTCTTCTAATACAAGAGAGGATTTTGCTCGCTTTAGGAACCGCAGCTTGGCATTGCATGCCATTATTAAGCTTGTGATCTACCAGAACTCCCAGATCCTTCTCCACCATTGATTCCCCCAGTTGTTACCCCCCCCCCCCCCCAGTATGTCTGATGCATGCATATTCTTAGCCCCCAAGTGCATAACCTTACATTTATCTACATTAAACCTCATTTGCCACATAGTTGCCCAATTAAACAGTGCATTGAGGTTGGCTTGTAAGTTGGAGACATCCTGTAAGGACGTTATTCCACTGCACAGCTTGGTGTCATCTGCAAAGACTGAAATGGGATTTGTAATCTCAGACCCTATATCGTTTATAAATATATTACAAAGTAAGGGTCCCAACACTGAACCCTGGGGTACACCACTGATGACCCCAGACCATTCAGATTATGAATCATTAACCACTACTCTTTGAAGACGATCTTTTAGCCAGTTTTCTATCCATTTACATACGGATTTTTCCAAGCCTGTAGACTTTACCTTACCCATTCCCCGGGTGTGGGGAAATGTGTCAAACGCTTTTGCAAAATCCAAGTATACCACGCCCAACACCACCCCTCTGTCCAAGGTCTTGCTCACCCCCTCATAAAAAGAAATAAGATTTGTTTGACAAAAAGAAATCAGATGTTTGACATTGGTTAATATTGGTTACCTAATGGAGCCACATGAAATACCAAATCAGACCATTGTTTACATTTGATTACTATGGTAACCAAGCCATTGTTACAATTGGTTACCATGGCAACCAAATGATGCCACAAAACCGCCAGCTTTCGGCAGTGGTTAATATGGTTACCAAATGATGCCACATGAAATACCAGTTCAGGCCATTGTTCACATTTGGTTAACATGGTAAGCAATCCAATATTTACATTTTGTTGTCATGGTAACCAAGCCATTGTTTACATGTGGTTACCAAGGCAACAAAATTATGCCACAAAAATGCCAGCTTGGCGCACTGGTTAATATGGGTACCTATTGATGCCACATGAAATGCCATTTCAGGCCATTGTTTACATTTAGTTAGCATGGTACCCAATCCATTGTTTACGTTTGCTTACCATGGCAACCAAATGATGCCACAAAAATGACAGCTTGTGGCATTGGTTAACCAATGCCCAAAGCTGGCATTTTTTTAGCATCACTCTGTTGCCAAATATAAACAACGGTTTGGTTACCATGCTAACCAAATGTAAACATTTTTATAGCGCAAAAAATAAAAACGCACAGGCGGTCAAATACCACCAAAAGAAAGCTCAATTTGTGGGGAAAAAAGGACATACATTTCATTTGGGTGCAGCATTGCATGACCGCACAATTGTCAGTTAAAGTAACGCAGCGACGTAACACAAACCGCTTCTGTAATCGCTTCCGGACTGCCCTATAGCAGAAATACTGCTACAGGGCGGCATGGGTGTGCAAAATCACATATATATATACACGTGATTTACACTCCCGTGGTTTACCCCTTGACTGCCAGGAACACGCTCATACACAATAAACCCCCATTGCTAGTATAGTGTCTGAATGGATCAATATCTTTGATCAGATCAGCACTATACCATCGTTCACATTAGTATAGCATCCCCAAAAACGCAGCATTAGCGGGATCAACCCCGGCACCTGCGTTTAGCCTCTACGCTTGCCCCCCCCTTCTCCTCCAGCAAGTGCAGTGTCAGTAGGTCACTGTCACTTACATTGCAAAAAAAACCACACTGTTGGCAGAATCAGGCCTGATCTCTGCTAGCACTTGTCGGTAAATTTTGATGACTCAAGAGGCGCATGCAGTACATACCGTTCTGACGGATGGCACGGCAATAATGGCGATCCTTTCTGAAGAAGTGCATTTGCATGAAATGCGTCAAATGACGAGCCAGTACGCCGTGACGTCACGTAACCGAAGCCTAGTGTAGGTCCGGCAGCCATCTTTCTATTGTGGATGATCAGTGCTTCTCCACTTATTTGCCTTTATATTTTACCACGTGGAATCTTTATTTAATAAATTATTTGCTTACAAAATACTGCACTATAGGCTATCTTCTGTTTGGCTCTACGTCCAGCTAAAATTAATTTCCAGAGCCCATCCCGGATGGTACAGTGGCAGGAGTTAGAGTGGCAATATTCCATTTTATCCAGAGGAGGAAGCTTTTCCATTAACTTTGGCTGTAAAGCATCCATTCATCCACTAAGGAGGCCTCTGGCTGGATCCAACCTGCGCCCACCAAGGAGACACCTTTAACCGGTTCCCGCCCGGCCTATGGCCAGATGGCGGCCGGGGGACACCTCGTCCCTCCGGGTGGATGCCATATGGCGTCCTTCCAGGCATGCGCAGTTTGCATGCCTGCAGAGCCGCCCAGGGACGCGATCTGTCACCATACATGTACCTCAGACATGGCCGATGACAGATCTGTGTACCGGCCTTGTTGCCAGTACCATGTGACCTGCTGTGACCAATCACAGCAGGTCACATGACAGTTGTATACAATGGATGGCTTCCTTTCATGCCATCCCTTGTATACAAGTGTGGCTAGCTGTGAATGGTCAGTGAGCACATGCACAAGCTGGGCCAATCACAGCCCAGCTGTGTCGTGATTAGCTGTGGCCAAATCACAGCTAAGCACAAAAAAAAAAAAAAAAAAAAAAAACCCTGAATGAAGATGTCATTCAGGTAAATGCTTGCTTATAGCAAAGTAATTCTTTTCTATAAGCAAATTGTGTAAAAAAAAAAAAAAAACTGATCACTTCCCCAAAGTAGTACAATGTTACTATGGTAACATTATACTACTTTGGTCATAGTGAAATATAAAAAAAAAAATCTTAAAAAAAAGAGAAAACGTAATAAAAAAAAAAAAAAAAAAAGTATAATTTTTTTTTTTTCGTACTGTAACCAGTCAGTGTCCCTGATCACCGACATGCCAGTTATATGATGACGCTTTACTGCACTGGTGACAGTATGTAAAAAAAAATAAAAAAAAAATAGTGAAAATCATTTTTTTTATTTCTTCATTTCTGAAAGATGACAAAAAAAATTATTACAACTTCCAAAAACTCGCCATGCAAAAAGGGGTCATTTGGGTGATATCTGTACTGTTCTGACATTCTTGAACCTCAAGAAATTAGATTGGCCATCAGTACTTCAGGATTGATCAATATTCAGATCTATCCCATAGTTGTGAACTCTATAACCTTCCTACAGACTAAATAATAAATACTAATTTGGGTTATTTTCACCAAAGACATGTAGTAGAATACATTTTGGCCTAAATTTATGAAGAACAATTATTTATTTGCAATCTTCTATAACAGAAACAAAGAAAAACTTTTTTTTTCTTCAAAATTTCTGGTCTTTTTTTGGTTAATTTAGCAAAAAATAAAAACCCCAGCGGTGATTAAATACCACCTAAAGAAAGCTCTAGTTGTGTGAAGAAAATGATAAAACTTTAGTTTGGGTACAACGTTGTATGACTGCGCAATTGTCATTCAAAGAGTGAGCGCTGAAACCTGAAAATTGGCCTGGGCAGGAAGGGGGTAAAAGTGCCCGGTATGGAAGTGGTTAAGGCTGTATACCACCCAGAGGGAGGAGAATCCGTAAACGGCATATCTCATCCATCCCATCCTGAGAAGGGGACCTCTGGCTATATTGTTTACATGCGTATTTAACCACCTACCTACCGCCCGCCATATAGTAATATGACGGACGCAAGGTGGTTCTCTCGTTCTGGAAGGACGTCATATGACGTCCTCCCATTCTCACCACGCATGCGCGGCTCAGGGAGCACGCAGCACGGCGATCGGTGGTGCGATGTGTCCCACGGACACAGCGGATCACTGATGACGGAAAGAGCCGAAGATGTCGGCTCAGTCATGTAGTCAGCAGTGTCCAATCACAGCTGATCACATGTAAACAGGGAAATGCCGGCTATCGGCATTTCTCTCTCCTCTCGAGCTGTCACGCTGACAGCTCGAGAGGAGAGTCGGTGATTGGTTTTCCACGGAGGGGACATGTACACTGATCATCAGGGCACTGATGATCAGTGTAGCCCCAGCAGTGCCACCTGTCAGTGTCCATCAATGCCTTGTGTCAGTGCTCATCAGTGCCTCGTGCCAGTGACAATCAGTGCCACAAATCAGTGACTACCAGTGCACATCAATGCCACATATCAGTGCCCATCTGAGCTGTCTTTCAGTGTCACCCATCAGTGCCAGTCAGTGGCACCTATCAATGCCAATCAGTGCCACCTATCAGTGCTGCCTATCAGTGCCACCTATCAATGCCAATCAGTGCCGCCTATCAGTGCCGCCAGTCAGTGCCGCCTATCAGAGCCAGTCAGTGCCGCCTAACAGTGCCATGTATCAGTGCTGCCTTTCAGTGCCCATCAGTGATGCCTGTCAATGCCCATCAGTGCCACCTACCAGTGCCTCCTCATCAGTGCCACCTATCAGTGTCCATCAGTGCACCCTATCAGTGGCCATCACTGTAGCCTCATTAGCGCACATCAATGAAGGAGAAAAATCGCTTATTTACAAAATTTTATAACAAAAACTAAGAAAAAACTTTTTTTTTTTTTCAAAATTTTCTGTGGTTTTTGGTTTGTTTAAGAAAAAAAAATGAAAAACCCAGAGTTGATTAAATACCACCAAAATAAAGCTCTATCTATCACAAAAAAAAAAATGATACAAATTTCATATGGGTACAGTGTTGCATGACCGCGCAATTGTCATTCAAAGTACGACAGTGCTGAAAGCTGGAAATTGGCCTGGGCAGGAAGGGGATATAAGTGCCCTGAAGGTTTGTGGTTAAAATACGCATCTGGTGAGCGCATATTGTTACTACACTTCTGGCACATCACTGAAGTTTGAAGTTACTATCAGCCTTTTACCCAGCACTTTACCACATACTGTCACTTTATTTGATATCTTTATTTAGCCTTTTAAGTGTCAATATTTAATATTTTAGCGCTGCGCCTTTTATTATCTATGAAGGTAAATATGCCAATAACAGCCTTCACAGCAGTGTCAATGGCTGGGGTCAGGTGACAACTCTCAAAGAAATTCTGAACATAGCCGAATAATATCAGGTATGGCATTTTAAACAGAATTACATTGGTCTAGCTTAGACCAATATAATGATATATATAATTATGTATATACCATACCTGTGGGATTCCTCTAGAAGCTTTAAAGATTTTTTTGAACTCACTTTTATTCCTACCACAACGAATGCATGCATCCCTTGTGATAGAAATAAAGCAGTGACAGGTTCTCTTTATGGAGAGATAAGGGGTCAATAAGACCCCACATCTCTCCTCTACAATGTAAAGCATTCCATCAAAAAAGCATTGATCTAGTGCATAAAAAAAAAGCAAACAAAAAAAAAACAATGGCCTTGTTTACAAGATGCCGAAACCGGAAGTGATGTCACTCCGGTCCTCCAAGGACATAGAGATGAGTGAAGGCCATCTTTCCTTCGCTTACCTCTATGCCCAGTGCCAGGATCGTTGCATGGTTTCTCAGGTAAGGCTGAGAACCACCGGGCGGCGGAGGGCGGGGTTACTTTCAGCACCTGTATTGGTGCTTATTGTAATATCAGCCAAAGGCTGATAGTGGTGTTTCGGTCAAAAAGTTTCGGCCACTAAAATTTCGGTGCATCCCTAATTATTACTAAGAAAATGAAGGGAAATCCAACATTTTCAAGTTGACCGCAATAAAAGAGGCGAGGGTAGATCTTCCAATGGGGTCCCTGTTCCAGGGATGTCTAAGAGGAATTTGCCTCACTTTTAATTATTTCCTTTGTCCTGTTGAGTCTCTGGAACAAGGTAAATTCCCCAATGGTACACAGACCTGCTCTGGGTAATGGTTTTGCACAGAGGAGCCCCGATCCTCCTCTTCTTGGGTCTCCCGCCGATGCTCCTAGCTGCTCCCCCCTGCTGAGTGCCCCCAGAGCAAGCTGCTTGCTCTGGGGGACACTTATGCATGCTTGCTCCCAAGCCACCACTGTGTCTCATAGCTCAGCCCCGCCCCCCTCCTCCATGGCTGCGATTGACAGTAGCGGGAGATAATGGCACACTGTTGTCGCCGCCAATGAGGAGAGAGACCCGGGACAGCCAAGGCTCTCATGCATATTGCTGGATCAAGATGGGGCTCAGGTAGGTATTGGGGGCTGCTGAACACAGAGGTTGTTTTACCTTCATGCATAGAATGCATGAAAGTAAAAAACCTTGAGCTTTTACAACCACTTTAAGCAATTGTTTGTGATCATTTGTACCTAGATCTATTACATGCAGGACCACTGTTATGTCTTCTGCTCTTCTCAGGTACATACCTATTTGCTGTGACAGCATGCTGGCTCTCTCGAGTCTCAGAACAGGAGTTCTCATTCGCCACGTAACAAGTGCTCAATAGATGGTTGCAGAGTTCACTGGGTGTTGTAGCCACGTAGGATTCACTACTGAATATTTGATGTATATCAAGGAGCATGTCTTCCTCTAGAAAAAAAATAAAAATGATGTGATTTTTCTGGCAATAACTTGCATACCTTTACTAGTAACATTGTATTTTATTAAATATTTGATTGGTACATTTATTTCCAAAATCCACAGCTTGACATACAAAGCAGCATACGGAGTACATAATGCAGGTTACAGCACAGCTGTCCACCCCACCACTGACAGGAAGGAGGAACCCTCCCTGAAGCAGCCATAGAGAGATACAGTTGCAAGAAAAAGTATGTGAACCCCTTGGGATTACGTGGAGTTTTGCATGAATTGGGCATAAAATGTGCTCTGAACGTCATGTAAGTCACAACAATAGAAGAACACAGTCTGCTGAACATAATACTACACAAACATTAGATGTTGCCATGGTTTAATTGCACATAACATGTAAACATTCACAGTGCACGGAGGAAAAAGTATGTGAGGCCCTAGCTTAATGACTTCTCCCAGAGCTAATTGGAGCCAGGAGTGAGCCAACCTTGACTCCAATCAGTGTGATGATATTGGACGTGTTGCTGACAGCTGTCCTGCCCTTAAAAAACACACACCTGTTTTGGGTTTACTGGTTTCAAGAAGCACTGTCTGATGTGAACCATGCCTCGCAGAAAAAAGCTCTCAGAAGATCTACGATCAAGAATTATTGACTTGCATGAAGCTGGAAAGGGTTACAAAAGTATCTCCAAAAGCCTTGATGTTCATGTGTCCACGGTAAGACAGACTGTCTACAAATGTAGAAAGTTTAGCACTGTTGCTACTCTCCCTAGGCGTGGTCATCCTGTAAAAATGACTGCAAGAGCACAGCGCAGAGTGCTGCATGAGGTAAAGAAGAATCCCAGAGTGTCAGCTAAAGACCTACAGAAATCTCTGGCACATGCTAACATTTTTGTTGACACATCTACAATAAGGAAAACATTAAACAAGAATGGAGTACATGGGAGGACACCACGGAGGAAGCCATTGCTGTCCAAAAAGAATATTGCAGCACGTTTGAAGTTTGCAAAAGAGCACCTGGATGTTCCACTGCACTACTGGCAAAATATACTGTGGACAAATGAAACCAAGATTGAGTTGTTTGGGAAGAACACACAACACTATGTGTGGAGAAAAAAAAAGGCACAGCACACCAACATCAAAACCTCATCCCCACTGTAAAACATGGCGGAGGGAGCATCATGGTTTGGGGCTGCTTTGCTGCCTCAGGGCCTGGACGGATTGTTTTCATTGATAGGAAAATGAAATCCAGAGTTTATCAAGACATTTTGAAGGAAAACGTACGACCATCTGTCCGCCAACTGAAGCTCCGCAGAGGATGGGTGATGCAACAGGACAATGACCCAAAGCATACAAGTAATTCAACAAAACAATGGCTGCAACAGCACAAAATACGCCTTCTGGAGTGGCCCAGTCTGAGTCCTGACCTCAACCCGATTGAAATGCTGTGGCATGACCTTAAGAGAGCGATTCACACCAGACATCCCAAGAATATTGCTACACTGAAACAGTTTTGTGAAAAGGAGTGGTCCAAAATTACTCCAGATCGTTGTGCAGGTCTGATCTGCAACTACAGGAAACGTTTGGTTAAGGATATTGCTGCCAAAGGAGGGTCAACCAGTTATTAAGTCCAAAGGTTCACATACTTTTTCCTCCCTGCACTGTTAATGTTTTCATGTTATGTGCAATTAAACCATGGCAACATCTAATGTTTGTGTAGTATTATGTTCAGCAGACTGTGTTCTTCTATTGTTTTGACTTAGATGACGTTCAGAGCACATTTTATGCCAAATTCATGCAAAACTCCACGTAATCCCAAGGGGTTCACATACTTTTTCTTGCAACTGTAAATGGTGTTCAAACCACACACGTGAGGTATCGCCACGTACGTCAGAGCAAGAGCAATAATTCTCGCACTAGACCTCCTCTGTAACTTTACACTGATAACCTGTAGAACTTTTTAAAGCATCACTCATGGAGATTCTTAAGTACCGCAGTTTCACGCCATTCCACGAGCGTGCGCAATTTTAAAGCGTGACATGTTGGTTATATATTTTCTCGCCGTAACATCCTCTTGTGATAGAAATAATTTGTGACAAGTCCTCTTTATGAAGAGATATAGGGTCAATAAGACCCAACATCTCTCCTCTGGAATGTAAAGCATTTGATCAAAAAAAAAAAAAGAATTGATCTGCTTAAAAAAAAATGACCAGAACCGGAAGTGACATCGCTCCTGTCCTCCAAGGGCATAGAGATGAGTGGAGGCCATCTTTCCTTCACTCATCTCTATGCCCAACGCCGGGATTGCTCGGTGGTTTCTCAGACATGGCTGAAAACTGCTAAGCAGCAGCCAGTGGCGGCAGCAGCGAAGTTATTTCGCCATCTGTATCGGCGCTTTTTTTCATTTCGGCCGATGGCCGAAAGGGGTGTTTTCAGCTGAATCGTTTCGGCCACCGAAACTTCAGTACATCCCTACTAAATACACCATTGAAATACAGATCTTGGAGTCATTTACCTGTGTCTCCCTGTCCATACATTCCCAAAATTTGGGACCTGACTTTTCTCTACTGCATGGAGGAAACAAATCTTGGTCATTACCCCACTGCAAGACTGTCATTGGTCAGTTAGGCCTGATTCACACCTATGCGTTTTTTTTTTAGTGCATTTTGCATAAACGCACTTCATTCTAATTAACATGGTTTCCCATGTGACACGTTCACATCTGTGTGTTTTTCAGCCGCTGCGTGTTTGGAAAAGATCACAGATTTTTCTTTTGTTAAACACAACACGGTGCATTTTTGGGTCAATAGACTTCAATGGACACACCGCAGATACGTATAAAGTGAATCTATTAATCTGCCTAAACAGCAAAAAGCATTAAAAAAAAATAAAAACACAAAAAATGCATCAAAAAACGTGTGAAAAATGACTGAACAAAAATGCAAAATGCACTGCAAGAAGCAATGCA